GCAAATTATGGTGGAAAATAAGTATTTGGTCAATATCAAAAGTTCATCTCAATACTTTGTTATATATCCTTTGTTGGCAATGACAGAGGTCAAACGTTTCCTGTAAGTCTTCACAAGGTTGGCACACACTGTTGCTGGTATGTTGGCCCATTCCTCCATGCAGATCTCCTCTAGAGCAGTGATGTTTTGGGGCTGTCGCTGGGCAACACAGACTTTCAACTCCCTTTAAAGGTTTCCTATGAGGTTGAGATCTGGAGACTGGCTAGGCCACTCCAGGACCTTAAAATGCTTCTTACAAAGCCACTCCTTCGTTGCCCAGACGGTACGTTTGGGATCATTGTCATGTTGGAAGACCCAGCCACGTTTCATCTTCAGTGCCCTTGCTGATGGAAGGAGGTTTGCACTCAAAATCTCACGATACATGGCCCCATTCATTCTGTCCTGTACATGGATCAGTCGTCCTGGTCCCTTTGCAGAGAAAAAGCCCCAAAGCATGATGTTGCCACCCCCATGCTTCACAGTAGGTATGGTGTTCTTTGGATGCCACTCAGCATTCTCTCTCCTCCAAACACGACGAGTTGTGTTTCTACCAAACAGTTCTATTTTGGTTTCATCTTACCATATGACATTCTCCCAATCCTCTTCTGGATCATCCAAATGCTCTCTAGCAAACTTCAGATGGGCCCGGACATGTACTGGCTTAAGCAGGGGGACACGTCTGGCACTGCAGGATCTGAGTCCCTGGCGGCGTAGTGTGTTACTGATGGTAGCCTTTGTTATGTTGGCCCTAGCTCTCTGCAGGTCATTCACTAGGTCCCCCAGTGTGGTCCTGGGATTTTTGGTCACCGTTCTTGTGATCATTTTGACCCCACGGGGTGAGATCCTGCGTGGAGCCCCAGATCGAGGGAGATTATCAGTGGTCTTGTATGTCTTTCATTTTCTAATTATTGCTCCCACAGTTGATTTGTTCACAACAAGCTGATTGCTTATTGCAGATGCAGTCTTCCCAGCCTGGTGCAGGTTTACAGTTTTGTTTCTGGTGTCCTTCGACAGCTCTTTGGTCTTCACCATAGTGGAGTTTGGAGTGTTACTGTTTGAGGTTGTGAACAGGTGTCTTTTATACTGATAACAAGTTCAATCAGGTGCCATTGATACAAGTAATGAGTGCAGGACAGAGGAGCCTCTTAAAGAAGAAGGTACAGGTCTGTGAGAGCCAGAAATCTTGCTTGTTTGTAGGTGACCAAATACTTATTTTCCACCATAATTTGCTAATAAATTCTTTCCAAATCAGCCAATGTGATTGTCTGGATTTTTTTTCTTATTTTGTCTCTCATAGTTGAGGTCTACCTATGATGCCAATTACAGGCCTCTCTCATCTTTTTAAGTGGGAGAACTTGCACAATTGGTGGCTGACTAAATACTTTTTTGCCCCACTGTATAAGCTTTTCAGAATAGATAATAGTGCACGCAGAGATCTTATTAACATACTGTGTGTGTGTGTGTGTGTGTGTGTGTGTGTGTGTGTGTGGTGTGACCATCCATAGGATGATCAAAATATCTTGGTTGGTTCTCCAACTATAGATCTTCTGTGGATGTAGGCTGCCTCATATCCTTCATGTCTCTTCATGTAATCCCAGACAGACTTGATGATGTTTAGATCAGGGCTCTGTGGGGGCCAAACCATTACTTCCAAGACTCCTTGTTGTTCTTTACACTGAAGATAGTTCAGTGGCTGCATGTTTAGAGACGTTTTCCTGCTGCAGAATAAACTTGGGGCCAATCACACACCTGCTTGATGGTATATCAATGGGGTCCTCAGCATTGAGGACCCCATTGATCCTGACCAAATCTCCAACTCCATTTGCAGAAGTGCAGCCCCAAACTTGCAATGAACCTCCACCATGCTTCACTGTTGCCTGCAGACCCTCATTATTGTACTTCTCTCTTTCCCTTTGCAAAAAAAACTACCTCCTGTTACAGCCATATACCATATAAAAAATTTTGACTCATCAATCCAGAGCACCTGCTGCCATTTTCTGCTCCCCAGCTCTTATGTTTTCATTTGCAGTTATGGCTTTTTTGCCACAATTCCTCTATGTGGACCACTTCTGGCCAGACGTCTCCGGACAGTAGATGGCTGTATCTGGGTTCCACTGGTTTTTGCTAGTTGTGTGCAGATGGCACTGCTGGACATCTTCCATTGTTGAAAGGACATAAGCATGCTGAATTGTCTTCTTGGCCAACCACTATGTCTACATTCCTCAACATTGCTTGTTTTTTTGTGCTTCTTCAAAAGAGCTTGAACAGCACATCTTGAAACCCCTTTCTGCTTTGAAATCTTTGTCTTGGAGAGACCTTGCAGATGCAGTATAGCTACCTTGTGTCTTGTTGCTGTGCTCAGTTTTGCCATGGTGTATGACCTGTGACACAAAATTGTCTTCCACAACCTCACCATAGTAGCAGAGTTTAGCTGTTCCTCACTCAGTTTTAAACCTCCTACACAGATGTTTCTGTTTCAGTTAATGACTGTGTTTCAACCTCCACATGAAATTGATGAACATTGGCACCTGACTAAAAAAATGAAACCAGCACTCAAATCTTCATGCTGACTAGGGATACTGTAACTGTCATTCACTGAGGTGCAGCCCTGGGAAGATCTCCGAAGAAGGGAGTACGACTCCCGAAACGCACCAGCCTACCTCATTCTCATTAAGGGTCTCACGTCACTTGGGACTGTCACCACGGACTCCTTGTCTCTGTTTTAATCCCCTTTGGTTTGTGAGTATGTACTTGTATGCATTTTAATAAACATGTGTTTCACCATGGTAATACACGAAGAGTGCGCCCTGTTTTTGCTTTTCTTCACAAACATACACCTGACTCTAAAGCAGGCCATTTGGGTCAAATTCCGAATGATTTTTCGATCGATCGAAAAAACATTGTTCGTTCTGTAATCCGATGGTGCCACCAATGATTTGGTGTGTGTTATTCCCTCATTATCCCAATTACAATGAGCAGATAAAAGGTCCAGAGTTCATTTCAAGTGTGCTATTTGCATTTGGAATCTGTTGCTGTCAACTCTCAAGATGATATCCAAAGAACTGTCACTATCAGTGAAGCAAGCCATCATTAGGCTGAAAAAACAAAACAAACCCATCAGAGAGATAGCAAAAACATTAGGCGTGGCCAAAACAACTGTTTGGAACATTCTTAAAAAGAAGGAACGCACCGGTGAGCTCAGCAACACCAAAAGACCCAGAAGACCACGGAAAACAACTGTGATGGATGACCGAAGAATTCTTTCCCTGGTGAAGAAAACACCCTTCACAACAGTTGGCCAGATCAAGAACACTCTCCAGGAGGTAGGTGTATGTGTGTCAAAGTCAACAATCAAGAGAAGACTTCACCAGAGTGAATACAGAGGGTTCACCACAAGATGTAAACCATTGGTGAGCCTCAAACACAGGAAGGCCAGATTAGAGTTTGCCAAACGACATCAAAAAAAGCCTTCACAGTTCTGGAACAACATCCTATGGACAGATGAGACCAAGATCAACTTGTACCAGAGTGATGGGAAGAGAAGAGTATGGAGAAGGAAAGGAACTGCTCATGATCCTAAGCATACCACCTCATCAGTGAAGCATGGTGGTGGTAGTGTCATGGCATGGGCATGTATGGCTGCCAATGAAACTGGTTCTCTTGTATTTATTGATGATGTGACTGCTGACAAAAGCAGCAGGATGAATTCTGAAGTGTTTCGGGCAATATTATCTGCTCATATTCAGCCAAATGCTTCAGAACTCATTGGACGCCGCTTCACAGTGCAGATGGACAATGACCCAAAGCAGACTGCAAAAGCAACCAAAGAGTTTTTTAAGGGAAAGAAGTGGAATGTTATGCAATGGCCAAGTCAATCACCTGACCTGAATCTGATTGAGCATCCATTTCACTTGCTGAAGACAAAACTGAAGGGAAAATGCCCCAAGAGCAAGCAGGAACTTTAGACAGTTGCAGTAGAGGCCTGGCAGAGCATCACCAGGGATGAAACCCAGCGTCTGGTGATGTCTATGCGTTCCAGACTTCAGGCTGTAATTGACTGCAAAGGATTTGCAACCAAGTATTAAAAAGTGAAAGTTTGATTTGTGATTATTATTCTGTCCCATTACTTTTGGTCCCTTAACAAGTAAGAGGCACATATGCAAACTGTTGTAATTCCTACACCGTTCACCTGATTTGGATGTAAATACCCTCAAATTAAAGCTGACAGTCTGCAGTTAGAGCACATCTTGTTCGTTTCATTTCAAATCCATTGTGGTGGTGTATAGAGCCAAAAATGTTAGAAGTGTGTCAATGTCCCAATATTTATGGACCTGACTGTAGTTACATCGTTAGTCTGGCTGAAAAAAGACAAAAGTCCATCCAGTTCAACCATTAAAAAAAAAAAGTTATAATCCTATACCCACAGTTGATCCAGAGGAAGGCAAAAAAAACCCTAGCAAAGCATGATCCAATTTGCTCCTGCAGGGGAAAAAATTCCTTCCTGAACCCCTGAGAGGCAATCGGATATTCTCTGGATCAACTTTACCTATAAATGTTAGTATCCAGTTATATTCTGTGTATCTAAGAAAGAATCCAGGCCTTCTTTGAAGCAATCCACTGAGCTGAGTTAGTTTAACCCACCCATCCTCGTCTCCAATTCTAGTCTGTTTGAAGACATTTGTGCTGAAGGGTGTAGTGCTGTTCCTTACCTCTGCCATCACTGGGAACTGTAGTATGAAGAAAGCTTCAGCATTTTAATTGGTAAAATGGTATTTCATGGCATTTTCAAGCAAAAATCTGTTCAAAATCATAACATAATTTGAGATTTCAATTGTGCTTGATGATGCTGATGACGATGAAGATTATTGTGCTTAATAGTGAGTTTTGGGTTGGCTACTGATTTATAGAGAATAAGAGGAATAATAATTGTTGTCTTTTAGGTGCTGGAAAAGAAAGCATTGATGGCCAAACAGACTTCAGCGAGGAGACAGCACATCCACAAGATGCAAATGCAAGAAATAAGCCGCAAACGTGAAGAGGTGGGAGAAACAATGGTGGAAAATACAGAGTAGAAAAACTTTGGGTGTCCAGAGTAGACGAGAACCCCTTCTCTTTATACAGATTTATTTGATAAGGGAAAGAGTGGTCACCAATGGCAACCAGTCAGAATTCTGCTTACTGTAGAATGTTAAATGAAAGATCATTTCTGATTGGTTGCCAAGGTTTACAGCACTCTTGCTATTTGTTAAAAAGTACAATATTGGTTCCCATATTTGGCCAGTAAATACATAATCGTATCTAAAAAGTAAGAAATATTAAATTTTGCCACACATATGTACTGCAGTGAAAGCAGGACTCCAGTGAAATTAAATGATTAAAGGTGAAGTTTAATCTGCTTTTATTTTGCCTTCTCTGGAAGAATCCTTTCCCCGGTCATCAACATGCTAATTACATTTTTAAATAAAACCTTTACATTTTTATTATAATACTGTTCCTAACTTTAGACCCTGGAAATGTCGTCATTGGGCCTCTATGCTTCTCTAGGCAACATGGGCAGATCATGGCTGGTGGGTGGAACCACCAGGGTGTTAAACATAGTGCCCTGAAAAAAACACAGCACCCTGCCTCAGTACTGCCAAGAGTCTTTAACCCTTAGCCCCGATGCAAGCAGTGGGAGGAGTTATTCAAATATCAGAAGGCCTTGATGGGTGGATGCCAATGTGGAGGTTCTTAGCCAGGCTGTATTTGGCATGCAGGTTGTCTAGGTAATGCCCACATGAGATGCTGAAGTCCACCAAATGAAAGGGGCGGGCCACAGATAGTTTGGCCAGGGAGGAAAGAGCCATGGTAGTGCTTGAGTTCAGCTTTTAATTTGCCCTCGCTCTCTAGTTCCTGAAGGATATAATTCAGTTTTTTTCCTGTGGATTATTTAACAAAGAGTATTAAAAACCTTAACCTGTGGTCCTTCAACAACATGACCACATTCATGACCAAACAGAATAGGCAAACATAAGGAGGACACAGTAATTGGATCTGACACAAACACAAGCATTCACAGAGACACTGAGAGCTCACCACCATGCAGTGTTGTATCAGATTAGCACTCCCACATTTTTGATACAACACAGAAGGGGTAGCAAGGCATGCTTTGGATTCTGTATGACCCGGAAAAGGATGCTTTCTTGTCCTTTTGGTACATAAGGACCAGCTAGCCAAAGAAATACATGCACATGGGGATTCGATAAGCTATGACACTACAAACTGCAGTCACAAAATGTGAACCCATTATTACAAAGTAAGGCAAACAGACAACACAGAGGATATACAATATACAATAATAGCTAGTTAAACCAACTAAAACATTTCAAAGTGTAGAATGCCCTTAAAGTGTTACTAAACCCAGGACCCTGAATTCGCTATATCTGGTCTCCCACAGTACACACAACATGGAAATGCAATTATTTTAGTAAATATAAATTGCTAAATACCTTTTCTCATCAGCAGTTAGAGCAGTCTTATGACTTTTATCAGTGTCCTGCTGAGCACTGGTTAAAGCTTGTAGGAGGAGTTTTCATTCTGCTCTGACTCTATCTTATGAGGTAGCATGACACCTGGCCCTCTGTCCGGACAGTGCCGATTACTGATTACTGTACTGATTACATGCACCCTCATTAAAGAAAAAAAAAAATCCTCTCTAGCAATACACACCAAAGTTGAGCATGTGCAGAGTGTCACCTAGGGCTCTGTACTATCAACAGATGGACTGCGGACAGTAGAAGAAGGGGAGGATCAGAGAAGCCAGGATTAAACAGCCTTTTTAAATGAGAAGGATTAACTCCTTAGGTACCATAGTGAGCATAACAAGCATGATTTACTGCATATACAGATTTCTTTTACTGTTGTGAGTTTAGTAACACTTTAAATTCAGTCGAGAAAAATAAATCACCAACCTTCCTCTGCTGTATGGCAGGGTTGCCTTGATCAAAAGAATAGCTGAACAGAAATAGAAATCTTTTGGGAGGAAAAAAGTTCCCATATACTGTATGTACAGTGGATATAAAAAGTCTACACACCCCTGTTAAAATGTCAGCTTTCTGTGATGTAAAAAAAAAAATGAGACAAAGATAAATAATTTCAGAATTTGTTTCCACTTTTAATGTAACCTATAAACTGTACAACTCAATTGAAAAACAAATCTTTTAGGTGGAGGAAAGTAAAAATAAAAAAAACAAAAATAATATGGTTGCATAAGTGTGCACACCCTTAACCACTTCCCGACTGCCCTATAGTAGAACTACTTGTACACGGTGGCAGGGCTGTGCAAAATTATGTATGTATACTTGATTTCGTATTTCTGGGTTGGGGGGGGGCGCGCTGCCATTGGCAGCTACAGCTGTCGAGCACTAGGTCCCAGCCGCAGATTCCTCAATCGCCGAGGAACACTGACAGGGGAGAGGTCTGTATGTAAACAATACAGACCTCTCCACTGTCAGCACAGCATGCTGCTTTGTATTGCTCTGCTTAGCAGAGGAATACAAAGCAGCATCCTGACACAGTAAAGCTCACACAGCACAGTTTGTAACACAGCACACAGCTAACCCATTGATCACCCCAGATGTTAACCCATTCCTGCCGAGTGCCATTAGTACAGTGTCAGTGCTTTTTATTAGCACTGATCTTTGTATTAGTGCCACTGGGGATGTCAGTGACACCAAGTCAGTTCCCCCCAGTGTCAGAATGCCCGCAGTCCCACTATAAGTTGCCGATCGCCGCCATTAGTAATATAAAAAAAAAATCCAGTATATATACCGCCATTTGTAGAAACTATAACTTTCACGTAAACCAGTTAATTTACACGTATTTGGATTTTTTTTTAGCAAAGACATGGAGCAGAATACATTTTAGCCTAAATTTATGATGAAATTTGATTTTTGTTTTTATTTTTTACTGGACATGTTTTATAGCAAAAAGTCAAAAATATTGTTTTTTTTTTCAAAATTGTTGGTCTTTTTTTGTTTATAGCACAAAAAAATAAAAAACATAGAGACGATCAAATACCACTGAAAAAAATCTCCATTTGTGGGGAAAAAAGGACATAAATTTAATTTGGGTGCAGCGTTGCAAGACTGTGCAATTGTCAGTTAAAGTAATGCAGCGCCGTATCACAAACAATGGCCTGGTCAGGAAGGGGGGTAAATCCTCTGGAGGGCAAATGGTTAAACTAACACTTTGTTGAAGCACCTTCTGATTTTATTACAGCACTCAGTCTTTTTGGGTATGAGTATCAGAACGGCACATCCTGACTTGGCAATATTTGCCCACTCTTCCTTGCGAAAACACTCCAAATCTGTCAGATTGTGAGGGCATCTCTTGTGGACAGCTCTCTTCAGATCACCCCACAGATTTTCGAGCGGATCCAGGTGTGGGCTCTGGCTGGGCCATTCCAAAACTTTCATCATCTTCTGATGAAGCCAATTTTTTATTTATTTGGATGTATGTTTTGGGTCGTTGTCATGCTGAAAGATGAAGTTCCTCTTCATGTTCAGCTTTCTACCAGAAGCCTGAAGGATTTGTGCCAATATTGACTGGTATTTGGAACTGTTCATAATTCCCTCTACCTTGACTAAGGCCCCAGTTCCAGCTGAAGAAAAACAGCCCCAAAGCATGATCCTGCCACCACCATGCTTCACTGTGGGTGTGGTGTTCTTTTGGTGATTTTGCAGTGGTATTTTTGCACCAAACATATCTTTTGGAATTATGGCCAAAAAGTTCAACCTTGGATTCATCAGACCATAACACATTTTTCCCACATGCTTTTGGGAGACTTCAGATGTGTTTTTTCAAAATTTAGCTGGGCCTGGATATTTTTCTTCATAAGAAAAGGCTTCCGTCTTGCCACTCTTCCCCATAGCCCAGACATATGAAGAATACAGGAGATTGTTGTCACATGTACCACACAGCCAGTACTTGCCAGATATTCCTGCAGCTAATTTAATGTTGCTGTAGGCCTCTTGGCAGCCTCCCAGACCAGTTTTCTTCTCATCAATTTTGTAGGGATGTACAGTTCTTGGTAATGTCACTGTTGTACCATATTTTTTCATCTTGATGATGACTGTCTTCACTGTGTTCTATGGGATATCTAATGCCTTGGAAATTCTTTTGTACCCTTCTCCTGACTGATACCTTTTAACAATGAGATCCCTCTGATGCTTTGGAAGCTCTCTGCAGACCATGGCTTTTGCTCTAGGATGCAACTACAAAAATGTCAGAAAAGACCTACTAGAACAGCTGAACTTTATTTGGGGTTAATCAGAGGCACTTTAAATGATGGCAGGTGTACTGACTCCTATAACATGATTTTGAATGTGATTGCTTAATTTTCAACACAGCTACATCCCCAGTTATAAGAGGGTGTGCACACTTATGCAACCACATTATTTTATCTTTTTATGTTTACTTCCCCCCTAAAAGATTTCACTTTGTTTTTCAATTGAGTTTTACAGTTTATAGGTCATATTAAAGGTGGAAAAAGTTCTGAAACGATTTATCTTTGTCTACTTTATTTACATCACAGAAACCTGACATTTGAAAAGGGGTGTGTAGACTTTTTATGTACGCTTTATCCCAACTGTTTATTTGCCTGAAGTTTCTGTTATTGTTACTTTAATAAAATAATTGAAAGAAGAACTTGAAATGATTGCTACTTATATAGGGCAATAAGAGGAAAGCTCGGACATGAGCACTCATCTGGCAGCTATGCCTCTTTGCAGTGACATCTCTCGGTGTCTTTTTGCTTGTACAGATGAATCACTTACAGTCTCAGGCAGAAGTGAAGAGGAACATCCACCGAGAGAGCAAGATCAATAAACATAAAATGAGGGAAATGAAGGCTAACAAAGTGAGAGGAAATGCAATGAGGTGTCATGAAGATGAAGATTTCCTGCCGGTGGAACATGATGACACTTTTAATATGGACCATGGTGAGATTTACAGTGTAAATATATTGCTAAACCTAGACTCGGAGCACTTTCACTGCAGTGCTGAATATATCGTTCACCGTTCCCCTGATAAACATTCAATCTGATGCTTGCTGTGTTAGCTGATTGTTGGAGTTAATTTATATTTGGTTATAATGAGCTGTAAATCAATTTTTCCGAAAAGTGTGAGATGTTTAGGACCATTGTAGGTTGTTCACGCTCTCATGGTAGGTGGGACATTGCAGAGCTGAGGATTTCTGTACTGCTATGCAGCAGAATATACTCAGTTTTGCAAGCTGCTATTGGTAAGCATGGACTGGAATGTGTTCCAGGGGATATTGCAGAGCTGATAATATTCTGTCAGTATACTTATTGTAGGTCCCTATCACAGATGCACACACATACTAGGGATAGTTTGGACAGGAGCCTATTAATCTACTAGCATATCTTCAGAGCAGGGATTCTCAACCATGGTTTCTCCATAGGTTATTAGAGGCTCCCTGAGCTGTTGATTGACCCCCCATCTTATGGTGCCTCCATGGTTCCTGGTCAAACAACACTTGGCACAACCATAGGTAAAATTCCAACCAACATTTAGCTGCTTGTGGCATTCTGACCACCACTGTAAAAATTAAGTTCTTCTTACTGACCACCAATGTAAATGGCATTCCTCCCATTAACCCATGATGAGTTACTTTTTGCACGAGTTCCCCAAGAACCGAAAATGATTTCAAGTGTTCCTCTGGGGTAAAAAGGTTGAGACAAGTTGTTTTAGAGTGTGGGAGCACATAGAGAACATGCAAACTCCCTAAAGGTAGCGTCCTGATTGAGATTTGAACCAATGACTCTATTGTCCGCAACATCGCCAAAATACGCACGTTCCTAACCCCAGAAACCACTAAACAGCTCATCCACTCCCTCATCATATCACGACTCGACTACTGCAACTCCCTCCTCACTGGCCTGCCTCGCTGCTGGCTATCCCCGCTTCAGTAGATCCTGAATACGGCTGCCAGACTCATTCACCTTTCCAACCGCTCCATCTCCGCCACCCCCCTCTGCCAATCCCTCCACTGGCTTCCGATTGCGCAACGGATCAAATTCAAAATCCTAACACTGACGTACAAAGCCGACCACCATACTGCCCCGAATTACATCACTGACCTAATATCCAAGTACCGCCCAGCATGCACACTCCGCTCCTCACAAGACCTCCTTCTCTCTAGTTCCCTGGTCTCCTCCTCCCATGCCTGCCTCCAGGACTTCTCCAGGGTGTCACCCATCCTCTGGAACTCCCTGCCCCAACCCATCAGATTATCACCTACTCTCCTCTCCCTTAGGCGCACTCTGAAAACCCATCTCTTCAGGGAAGCCTACCCCACCCCCTGCTAACCTGCCGACCTCCTCCACTCTTCCTATCACTCCATCCCCCACAGCTATCTACTCCTGTACCACTATCCCCTCCCTCCTAGATTGTAAGCTCGAAAGAGCAGGGCCCTCGATCCCCTCATGTTTTGTATTATATTGTTATTGTTCTGTCACATGTTCTGTCCCCCTTTGTAATGTACAGCGCTGAGCGAACCATTGGCGCTTTATAAATACTGTATAATAATAATAATAATTGTCTCAAGGCAGAAGTTACTCAAGTTACTGCACCATACAGGGTCTTGCCGTGTAGTACAGGTGGGTGGAACTTGGTCAGGTTTAATAGCACCATTGCATGGGGCTGTAAGGCACACCTAAATGGTGATACTTTTTTTTTAGCAAGTTCTGGCCCTTGTGTAAAGTGCTTTTTTTCATTTAAACTGCTACTAGAATGTTTTATTGGAGGCAGCACAGAGACTGGTTTATATGCTGAGCTACTTTTTTACTTAGCAAACAAGAGAAAGAAGAGTAGGTTTCATGTTACCTGAACTGTAAAGAGCCTTCTGATTCTTCTAATACAGTGGTCGGCAAGCCGCGGCTCGCGAGCCACATGCGGCTCTTTACCCAGTCTAATGCGGCTCTTCTGTGTGCCGGGCGCCTGCTCCCCTCCCTCCTCTCGGTCGCCGCTCCCCTGCCTCCTCTCGGTTGGCAGCCCCAAAAGTCCGCGCGGACCTTTTAATCCGGCTTGCGGATGTGGCTGTCAGGATGTGTGTAGGCGGGGCAGCGTGCCGAACGTGAGGGGAGGGGAGCTAGGCTCCTCTCACAGTCCGCCCTGAAGACCCGAACGGCGCGGGAAGACAGCGAGAGGAACGCAAAAGGTAAGTGAATTGACACGGGGGACTTGGCTTACTAGAAGGGGGGGGGGGGAATAGTACTGTGGGGGATGAAATACTATATGAGGGATGAATTACTTTATGAGGGATGAAATACTATATGGGGGGATGAAATACTATATGGGGGATGAATTACTATATCAGGGATGAATTACTATATGAGGGATGAAATACTATATGGGGGGATGAAATACTATATGGGGGGATGAAATACTATATGGGGGGATGAAATACTATATGGGGGGATGAATTACTATATGAGGGATGAAATACTATATGGGGGGATGAAATACTATATGAGGGATGAAATACTATATGGGGGATGAATTACTATATGAGGGATGAATTACTGTATGAGGGATGAAATACTATATGGGGGGATGAAATACTATATGAGGGATGAAATACTATATGAGGGGATGAAATACTATATGGGGGGATGAAATACTATATGGGGGATGAAATACTATATGAGGGATGAAATACTATATGAGGGATGAAATACTATATGAGGGATGAATTACTATATGAGGGATGAAATACTATATGGGGGGATGAAATACTATATGGGGGGATGAAATACTATATGGGGGGATGAAATACTATATGAGGGATGAATTACTATATGAGGGATGAAATACTATATGGGGGGATGAAATACTATATGAGGGATGAATTACTATATGGGGGGATGAAATACTATATGAGGGATGAATTACTATATGAGGGATGAAATACTATATGAGGGATGAAATACTATATGGGGGGATGAAATACTATATGAGGGATGAAATACTATATGGGGGGATGAAATACTATATGAGGGATGAAATACTATATGAGGGATGAATTACTATATGGGGGATGAAATACTATATGAGGGATGAAATACTATATGGGGGATGAAATACTATATGGGGGATGAAATACTATACGGGGGATGAAATACTATACGGGGGATGAAATACTATACGAGGGATGAAATACTATACGGGGGATGAATTGCTATGGGGGATGAATTACTATATGGGGGATGAATTACTATGGGGGATGAATTACTATATGGAGGATGAATTACTATATGGGGGATGAATTACTATATGGGGGATGAATTACTATGGGGGATGAATTACTATGGGGGATGAATTACACTATGGGGGATGAATTACACTATGGGGGATGAATTACTATATGGGGGATGAATTACTATGGGGGATGAATTACTATATGGGAGATGTATTTTCAGTTTTAAAAATGTGGCTCTCAAAATAAATTTCAATCATGGTTTTGGCGAGATTTGGCTCAGTTGAAAAAAAAGGTTGCCCACCACTGTTCTAATACATCCCTTCCTTAAACAGTTCTCTTGCTGAAATCAGGCCTATGTCATATGTGATCACGTTTGGAAATGTGTGATTAGTTTTGTTATGAAATCAAAATTCAGATGATATTTTTGTTATTTGGAGATTCGGATGGATCCAAATTTCCAAATTACAAAAGTAACAAATTTCAACGAATATTATAACAAAATAAATTATCTAAATTTGAAAATTAATTCCAATTCAAAAATTAATTTGAATTAAAACTGGAAATGTATTGCAATAAATACAGTAGGGTATCAAAGTGAAATAAGATGATGATTCCTACTTAGGCTGACGAATAGAATAGAATGGAACAGAATAGAAAATAAAAGCATGGAAAATAAGATTAGATTAGAAAATAAAGAACAGAATAATATAAAAAGAAAGTAAAAGAATAGAATAGATTAGAAAATAAAAACAACAGATTACAAAATAAAGGAATAGGATAGAATAGTTTAGAATAGAACAGAATAGAATAAAATAGAATGAATATAGCCATCTTCCAAAATTCAAATTTCAACATTTGAATTTCAAATCGATTTGAAAATAACAAATATACGGAATGAATCCGAATATACAAAATCAATTCCCAAAATAAATCATTGTAACATAACGAACATGACAAAATGAAATTATTAACTTAAAGAACGAATCCGAAATGAAAGACATTTTTCCATTGTGCACATCTCTAATCATGTTGCTGGCACATTGTCACCAGGCTCACTGAGGACAGGAAAGGGCAGGACAGAGAACTGGCTACCTATTTGCCCAGGCCACCCCTTGCTGGTTGGATTGTTCATCACTGACAACTTACATTCTGAGGAGTTTCCATAAGCAATGGAGCAATGCCACACTCAACTATCTGGCAAGGGAGCAACACATGGAAATTGCTTTCTCTACAATTTTCAGTAATTCTGTCACTGGTGAGCTGTCATCTCCAAAAATACGGGCTCCTCTTCCCAAAATATTACTGACTGGTGGCACCACACACAAGATACCAAATTCATCAAAAGAATACCATAGCTTAAAATAAGTGAGAGCTAAGTCATTAGTGTAGGATCTCTGAACCTAGCGTCTAAAGTACTGTAGGTATCCGTATTGAGTGAGCTTGTTTCTTAATGCCTGATTACTAACTGGAATTTATTCCAACTTTAATAAACATGGAACTATTGTTCATATCTACTGTACATTTCATTTTCAGTATAGTTCAGTTGCTACTTCAGAAAGAGGTTGTTGATGTAGTTTTAATATATCTTCCCATTTAGGGAATACCTGGCATTGGACCATGAGGGACGTTGATGGTACACCAGATTGCCATCTGCAGAAGAACAAGCTGAATTTGTGGTTTCAGCTCCATAAACAAGGGATTGAACCTAGTTATGACAGTTCAAGCAGTGATTCCCTGGACAGCTGGATCAGAGAAGATGCACGGAGTTGTCGGAGACCTCCCTTAGTGAGGACACGGACTGAGAAAATCCCTAGGTTTGATGAGTTCTATGATTGTGAATTTTAAGTCTAGTATTAGTTTGATAACTGTCATTTTTTTGACTAAAGGAATTTCTTTCTTGTAATTAATGACAGCTGTTGGGATATAAAGAGTTAAAGCTGAACTCCAGTTATAATCTTAATTGCATACTTACATTGGTCCAGCTTGGAACAATGTACAGCATGTATGTATATCTCATACCTGAGAGACCTCTGCTGAAGTTGATAATCACTGTAGACAAGGCTTGTACAAGGTGAAGATTGTGACATTATAACCCCTCCTCTCCATATTGTCCAATCAGAGAACGCTTTGTATTCATGAATATACTGCAACCCCCCACCCCCTCAATTGCACCATTTTGAACAAAAAACAGTCTGACGTGTTATGGCTACGATTAAAGCGTATTCCTGAAACGTTTAAACCAGGTTTACCTGTACATTCTACTTAATGTAATGAAGTCATTCTTTGGAAGGATGAGTTTCCTGGTCTTTGCTCCTTACTTTCAAGTCTGACGTGTTAGACTGTAAATGTTTTGAATATTTGTAATCAGTAGTTTTATATTCCGATTTTTTGAAATTAAAGCATATATATTAATAATATGAAAATAAATGATAAATTGCTGTTTTTAGTTGTTTTTTTTCTGTTTCTTCTAAATATACAGTAAGTAGGTACTAATGCTATAAAATACTTTAAATGACTACTTCTATAAATGAGAATACCACATAAGTATATTTTAGTCACATGGTAGGGACAAGGCAGGGCCGGAAACCCAACGAGGGAATTCTGGCTGTCAATGGATGAAAACTGGTATGTCCGTTTTTTCGCACCATGTTGCATTTAAAGTGGCTGAGGTGTGGTAGGACCCCAGAAACTACCCAAAAATGACTCTATTTAGAAAAATAGATCCCTTGTGGTTTTTGGCAAGAGGTATAACTTGGACTTTGAACTTCAATTTTTCAGAATGCAATTGACAGAACAATTAGGAAAAAAACATAAATACAAAATTTTCAACAAACACATAAAGTAAGTGATGGGTTTCATAAACACAGTGATGGTATGGTGAAAAACTGTATCCAACAATACTGTATGTTCAGCTACCTCTCCTGTGCACAAGGATATCATATAAGTGTGCCTTGGGCTACACTGACATCAGCAATTTAGGACGTTGTGAATTGCAGCAGCGGGAATATTCCACAATGCAGCTGGCAGGTAATTGCTGGCTGTGCAGAGAACTGTGGATAGCTGTGGCCTTTAGTGACCTGTCATTATAGTGAACAGGGCCGATGGCCACACCTAGCCACTCACAGCTGCAGCAGGAACCAAAAGAGTGCATTCTGGCTGTCAACGGCTGAAAACCACCATGTCAGTTTTTTGGCACCGTATTGCATTTAGGCTCAGAAGTAGCAAGACCCCATTGTGGCGATGGTTCAGTACCAAAAAATACATACATCTTTTAGGTTTTTAGTCTACCCTAAAGTAATATATTTTGCTTTTTTCAGGACAAATAGGGCTAACATTTGGTAGCAAATGTGGATACATATAGTTTTATTTTTTTTAAATTTATTGAGAATGAATAGCAAAAGATTAGAAAAATATTAAAATTTTTCTGCAATTTTCCCAAAGCACAGTTTACGTAATTTGCACACGCTCGTTTTTTGCCCCAAAAAATAATCAACAAAGTCTGCTAATTAAACTGATATCACATTAGTGCTATTTTTATGTAATGTAGTAGAATGAAGAAAATGTATATATCCCCTTGCTACTAAATCCTAAAACCTAATTATCTACATCAGGGCTTAAAATTTTGAGTCTAGACCTACTAGCCAGGCACAAACCTTACTCTCCACCAGTTGCCCCACCCAACCTTCCCCAGGTCCAACGTTGTAGTTGTGAGGCCCTGATTCTATGTGTAGGAGAAAAAAAAATCAATATTACTCTATGGAGATGGTTCTCCACTCCAAGTCACCTGAAGCTCAAAAAAGTTTTGGAGCTACTTTTGTAGCTCCATTCAGGCAGATTCATGCGTTTTTGGTGCATTTTTATTCCCATAGAAAAGAATAGAAATGAGCGATTGATGCGTTTATACGGGTTTATGCATGAGTTTTGTGTGATTTTTCTGCTCAAATGAAAAAATGTAAAATAAAAATAGTAATAGTATATGAATAAATAAATGTATAATAAATACACATATAAATAAAAAATCATGATTAATAAATCATAAATAAATAAAAATTAACCCCTAACCTTAAAAAAACTAAATATAATATTATTATTATTATTATTATTATTATTAATAATAATAATAATAATAATAGTAGTAGTACTAATACATAAACACTCAAACAAAAATATACATTATTATTAATAATAATAATAAATTATTGTTATTATTATTTGATTACTTTTTTAGGTTTTGGGGTTAAAGTTATGGGTTAATTATTATTAATATACTAATTTACTATTACAAGTATTTATTTATGATTATTTTTATTTATTTGTGTATTTATTTTACGTGTATTTATTTTTTATTATTATTATTATTATTATTATTATTAATAATATATTTTTATGTTCGGGTTTAGATGTTTAGGTTTAGGCATCTATTTTTTTTTATTATTACTATTATTAATAATAATAATAATAATAATAATCATCATAATAATAATAATAATTTATTAGATTTTTGAAGGGTTAGGGGTTAATTATTATCTATTTATTTATACCTAGTATTTATTTATGATAATTTGTTTTAGTTGTGTATTTATTTTACATTTATTTATTAATTTTATTATTATTAATATTATTATTATTATTATTACCCTAACAAAAATAAATAAATAAAGAGAAAATAATAAGTAAAATACTATAAATAAAATAATAAATAAATAATAATAAAATAATAAATAAAATACTAATCCCAACCCAATCCTATCCCTAACCTAACCTTAATTAACCCCTTACCCTAACAAAAAACAAAATAATAAAAAATTAATAATAATGATAATAATAATTTAAAAAACTAAAGCTGATGGAAAAACTAAAAAAAAAAAAACCTAGCAACATATGATGTAACAGATGATATTTTCTCTATTGGCTAATTATAAAAACGCCAAAGTTCAAAAACACCTAAAAACGCTGTATGAAAACGCACAAAGACCATGTGCGACAAAAAGTGCCAAAAATGCTGAAAACCGCTACGCTCAGATGTGAATGGAGTCTTAGAGTGTCCAGAGAGGATGACAGTGTAGACACTTGAAGACCAAAGTGGCTAGGTTGGGCAGGACAGGTGAAAAAGAACAGACAAGGGCGCACTCTCATCTTGCATTACCGTGGTAAAAAAAATGTTTATTGAAAAAAAGAAGATATATACTCACAAACCAGCGTGATTAAAAGCAGTATATGTGGTCCACAAACACAGTCACAGTACATCTGTGTCTAATGATGCGAATGACTGACGCGCGTTTCGGGAGCTAAACCCCCTTCCTCAGAGCTAAAGATGCTCCTACTGGCCACAAGCCTATACAGTATACTGATGGAATATCAGAAGGAGGGTGGATAAAGCCCTCCCACCCAGCTGACAGAAAAAAAAAACCATATATATATATATATATATGATTAAAAATAATAATAATAATAATATATAATATATTTATATATCATTCATTAGTGTTCCATCATTCATTAGTGTTCCATTATACACTATGTATTATGCATCTGCAGTTTTATTTATTTATTTATATTTATCAGTTCATTCATTTTCATTTTTAGTTGTATGTTCATTTTTATTTTAATTTTTTTTTAATCATATATATATATATATATATATAATATGAATATATATATATATTTTTTTTTCTATCAGCTGGGTAGGAGGGCTTTTTCCACCCTCCTTCTGATATTCCATCAGTATATAGGCTTGTGGCCAGTAGGAGTATCTTTAGCTCTGAGGAAGGGGGTTTAGCTCCCGAACGCGTTAGCTCATTCGCATCATTAGACACAGATGTACTGTGACTGTGTTTGTGGACCACATATACTACTTTTAATCACGCTGGTTTGTGAGTATATATCTTCTTTTTTTTCAATAAACACGTTTTTTACCACTGTAATGCACGATGAGAGTGCGCCCTTGTCTGTTCTTTTTCACTAGTGCTCAGATTTCCGATCTTAGAAGGGCTGCACCTCTTCGGTTGGCATCTTCTTGGTTATATGAAGACTGGAGCGCTGGTCACGTTTGTTTATCTTTTAGGGCAGGAGAGGAGTGAGAGTTCATCAAAGAGGTAGTCTAAGGCAGTGATAAAAAATGGGAAAATAATTGTTGGAGAAGTTGAAAGGAGTGGTGTCGTGACCTGGTTCACCTGATAGTGGCGCTAGTGTCCACCAGTGGGTGTCTTCCAGCAATCAGCTCCACCTGGCCACATCTGCTGGGAGGGTACTACTGGGATGACTCCCTGCGTCAGTATTTTGGCTGCCCCTGCCTTGTACCCTGTTTAGCTGTGTAGCTGCCAGAATCAGATCCCTAACTCTTGATCTTAATCTTGTCCTCTGTTCCTCCTTTCTCAGTCTTGTTTCTCCTTCCCATCTGCTCCTCTAGGTTTTCCCTGCTTTGCATATCTCACACTTGTATATATTTGTATATATTTAGTTAGTTGTTAGGTTTCTGTATTTTGGTTGTTTGGTTGTTCAGTTTTGATCTTCATGCATTCTCATGTTTATTCCTGTTGATGTGTGTAAATGAAGCTCACTTTAAATATATAGATATACATAGTCTGGTCCCAGTTTCTGTGTATAGCTATATTTATCTGGTCATCCCTGCTGCTGACCCCTTACCAGGGGCGGACTGACAACTCATGGGGCCCCCGGGCAATAGGGGATCATGGGGCCCCTCTGTCCTTGCCCAAACTCAAAAAAGCCAATGAAAAAGATACCAGGGGCATCTCATGGGGTCCCCTACTGACCCGGGCCCTTGGGAAGTGCCCGAGTTTCCAAATGGTCAGTCCACCCCTGCCCCTTACATAACATTGACACCC